AGAATTTAGGTGCTAATTTAAAGTCTGTGTGTGTGTGTATATATATATCTGATGGTAACTTCATTTATTTCTTAGTTGCACAGCTGAGTTCATTGCTTTTTTTTTTTTTTGTAGTCAAACAGGTACGAAATTTAATGCAACCTGCTGGTTATATCACGCAGGAATATTTGGCTTACTCTGACAGCTGTACTTTTTTTTCCTGGGAAAGCTGAACCCTTGCTGCATACTAAAATATTCACTGTGTTTTCCCTTAACCTTTAATTTTCCTTATGTATTATTTTCTTTACACAGTGAGATATCTAAGATCTCCAGGAATGGTTATCTTCATCTAATATTAAAGCAAGATTAATTGGCTTTTGGATGGGAACCTTATATATCAATATCAATAAATATACTTATCAAAATAATACTTTTAGCTCAAGAACCAAATGCTTCCTTTTCTGGAGTGAAATCTCAAGAAGCAGAATTTGTTAGCAGAAGACATTATTCATGAACAGCATGTGTTTTCCATACATGCTTCAGAAGTGCTAGCAAAATTTGTGACATGGAGTGCTAGTTTATCAGCTGTTTCAAATGATTTTCACCCATTATAGCTCAGAAAACAACTGACATTAAACTGTTACTTTTCAAACTGGAGGGGTCTCTCATTATGGGCAAATAAACACCTGCTTTGGTCCAGTTATTATGCCTTCCCATTGATCAAAGGCCATTTATCTGTAAAATCAGCGATCTTTTTGAAAGGAGAATCTGCTGATCATCTGTGAAAATCTAGTAAAAAATAATACATTAGTCTTTGAAAAGGGATAAGGTGGCCTTTTAAGGTGACTAGCTCAGAGTCATACCAGCATTTTATTACAAAGAAATCTCTTTAAGTAACTTCACTTTTTTTTTTTTTTTTCCAGTTTGCAAGATTGCTTCTGATTTTCTTTGTATTTCTGTAGCTTTATTCAAAAAGCTTACCTAAAACAGTTAATTCTGTTCAAATTCATTTTCCAAATCATGTTTCTGCTCAGGAAGAAGTGAGTTCATTACTCTTAAATATTGTTTTTAAACTAGTAGTCTCCTAAGTTTTTTGTAGCTAAGATGACTTTGTTTATGTCTTGAAAATGCTGGTGGTTAGTAGCTGCATCACATGATTCCTGTCAAAAGGTTGCTCACAGGTATATTAAAACTGCAGGACATCTAGAGTAGAGGGTGGGGGTTTTGTTGATTTTTGTCAGTTTGTTGCTGTTGCTTAAGTCTGCAGGAACTTACGTGGAAGTGAAGTTATATTGTTTACACAGTTGTTGCTTGACTTCATATCTGTATGAGAAACTTGTATGAAGAATGGTTCAATGATCTTTGCTCTGGTAGAATAATCTCCCAGTTCCAGGAAAGGGCAAAGTTGTGGTACACAAATACACCGCTTCCAACCTGGAACTGGGTGTGACTTTCCTGATGATCATAACTGCAAGTAATCCATAGTCCTGTTTAAAATGTTTTTGACATCTGTTTATTGAACTGATGAATGGGAGGGGGTAATACATGTGTTTTTTATCTTAAGTGGGAAAACTTTGTCATGCCAACAGAAGTCTTTAATCACTGTGCATTTTTAATTTAGAAAAGGCATAAAGCTGATAATGCGGTGAACAAGAAACAAACTCAAGGTAGGAAATTTTTTAAAGCCTATTAATTGTGGTTTGGAGGGGATTGGGTTTTGAATTTTCTGCAGATTGAAGTAATGTAATCTGAACTGCTGACAGGTAATTGAGTGGGAAACTGCTTATGCAGATTAATTCAAAATTTGAAATCTAAACAGTTGAAATAACAATTTGCAGCCACATTACCTCCACAAAATGCAGTATATTCTAGATTAAGTTTATGAGGTTCCTAAGAAACTTTAATGTTTGCTCATTTAACACAGGTGATGCTGTAGCTGTTAAAAGAGCATAATCACCACTATATTTAGCAGGCCTGGATTGTGTTGGAAAGTCTGTGCATTTCTAAGTACACAAATCATAATTTTTTTCAGCCAGCAAATCTTGGATAATTCCACTTTGGAAACCTCTGCAAGTGGAAGGAGAAATGAAACTGTATTTCTATGCTGCTTCAAACTTATGGATAAAGATGAATGGAGTTTTTGGTTTTGTTTTGTTAATATGAAATCACAGAATCACAGAATGTTATGGATTGGAAGGGACCTCTAAATCAGTGTGTTGGTTTGATTAGAGATAATGAGATATTTAGCCAGTGTACCCAAACCAAAGCTTTGGAATGTGATTATTATTTTTTTTTAAGATTTTGGTAAAGAAACAAAGAAGTATTAAATCAGAGGATTGTTGTATCTCAGAAAGTCAGTGAGATGTTAGCTAGTATGTCCTAAACGTGTGGGTCAGGTAGGAAGTCCAAGTTTAAGTTCCCTCTTTTCTGCTCTTTAACTTTTCACGTTACCTATGTTACCTGTTCAGATGTAGGCATCTCTTGATAGACCTGGTCCTGTTTTTATAAACAGGACAAGGAATAAGTGTGTTTTGAATTTGATTGCAGAGTGTGGAAAATACCACAAAGAGGAGAATCTTACATGTCATCTTTTTTAAATCAAGTTTACTGCAAAATTTATGGGGAGCATAGGGGAGAAGGTAACTTATGAAACTACTGAGCATGTAGCTCAGTAGGAGGTATGGAGAGATTAGGACAGGGAGACAAATCTATTGATTAAAGCAATGGGAATTGAAATCTCCAGAGAACAGGCCTGGAGAAACAGATAACCTCTTATCTATACATAAAAAACAAAGGAAAGCTTAATGTAGACATCCAAAATTATTTCATCAAGCATTCATAGCTTTTGAGATTGCAACCAACAGTTTTAAGTGGCAGTGAATCTTGAAGTGCCTTTTCAATTTATTTTTTTTTGTCCAGACTGTCCGAAGTTTTAAATTAAGAAAATAATTGTTTTACTGTCTTCATGCCTATTCCCTTTGGTTACCTCTTATTAGGCTTTTTGGTGACTGTTCTTAAAAGTCTTGAGTGCCCCATGCATGCAAAAGAGCATATTGGAAGTTGAAAGTGTAATGATAATACTGAAATAGCATAAAATACTGCTAGCACTGAGAAACAAGTTTTTTAAGTTAATGCAGGATTCACATATGTACAACATCAATCCTAGCATTCTGTCAAAGCAGTATTTAAATACATTGTCAAATATAGTCTATTGTCTAAGCAATAATTAAAAATCTACTCAGTATGGTACTCTCTTACTTTGTTTTCACGTATTCAGCAGTTCTGTAACCTTTTAAACCTCATGTCTTTTAAACATGAAATTGTTAATGAAATGACATGTGCACATGCAGACTCTGTATATGGCTTTCTGTTCGTCTGTCTGTTCCTTAAAAACCATCTATATCTCAGTTAAGGTTAAGTAACAGTCTGAATTCCCATTACTATAAAAAACCTTTTTGCACAGGATTTTGATTTATTAGGCTGCATTAGGGATGATTTTTCGTACCTGAGGCTGCCTACATATACAGCTGGACACGGTCAGACCCTCTGACATGACGAAATGTGCATTTCTGCAGTGTGGCGATATAGTCTCCTGTAGGGCAGATGAAGCATGCTTTTGAAAGTTAGTTGTCAGAGACAGCTGAAAAATGGGAGCTATAAATATGACAGAAGACTTCATGGCACAAGTTCTTTAATCATTATATAAAAGGTGCATAGCAACACCCTTCTTTTCTTGTTCTCATAAGAAAATGGATTTAATTGAATTTCAGTGTATGTTAATTGTGCTTAAAAGCTTATTGGATCAAACTGGCGTTAGAGTACTCCTGAGATTTCAGGTGTCTCAGCCTGTTTTCATGAGTCCTATGTTATTTGTGAGCTGATTTTAACCAGATAAACCAGCAGGCAACAAATCCAGAAAGAAAAGCTGACAATTTCCTTACATTTACTGGGTTAAACTGGCTCATCAAAGGGTCCAACAAACACCAGAAGCAGCACACACATTAAGCAGTGAGGGCACGCACCTTTCCACAGGGTGAGAGCAGACGAGGACCTTCCCTTTGCAGTGGCGATTTTAGGTCAGTTTGGCTGCATGTGAAACAGCCTTAGGGTATACTTCAGCAGTGCAAGTGCTTCAGCCAACACTTCTTAAGAAGCCCCTGGCCACCTCTGGCAGCTTACTTACATTTCAGACCTGCAGATCTCCACTGGCAATTATTCTACTATAGCTATTTTGTGACATTTAGTAATCTGGATTGCTGCAAGGTATATTTTTAATCCTCATCAGTTCTTTCATCTGGTTGATACTGTGGCCCTACAAACAGCATTGCTGACACAAGGCAGTGGAAGTAGGTAGTTGGTGGCACAATTATTGAATGTCTTGAGTTCCTTAGGACAGTATTTCAAACAGTCCTCTCACTGGATCTGTAGTTTTCCCAGTGAAGGGAAATGGTTTGTTAAAATACATTGTTGTGTAATGATCAACTGATTGGTAAAACAGCTATTAAAATATCTTGTTTACTGTCTGAAAGGGAGACTGCTCCATTTACCATTGCCCTGAGCATATCAGCACTAAAAAATTAGGAGGAGGGAAGGGTTAGAGAATTTATCTCTTCCTAAAGAATTATTAAGTAGGTTAGAAAAGACTTGCAGAAATCATTGAGATATACAAGAAGGGGGATCAATCTGGACAGAACCTCAAGGAAGACTTATATGTAAAAGCCATATGTCTTCCCAGATTCTGTTCCACTTTTTTGAAATCAACACATGCTTGCATAAGAGTTAGATCCTCATCAGGTACTTAGATACTAACATCCTGATGGTTTGAAAGCTGGGAGACACAGTGAAAGAGAACAGTCTCTTGGAGCTGCCTGAGTATTGATACATGGCAATGCATTTTCTTTTTAATTTCATTTTCTTTTTGCACATTCCTCTTCAGTAGCTTTGTAACTGGTGCTAATAAAAAAAAAAAGTCACCTTTATTACTCTCTGGAAACACAATCTTGGCAATTAACTGACAAACAAGGCATGGTGTTTGCATCATAATAGCAATACTAAAAGCTAGAGTAGTGGAGCGTGCTTGCAATATTAATTGCTACTGCCAGGGAAAATCTACACTAAATCTTACGCTAAATGACATGGGTTGATTTTGGAGATTTCCAGTACATTTGTGGAGGAGGCGATTGCAATGATCCTAAAGTTCTCTGATAACAGTAAGAACAGCTGAATTCTAAGAAGCCTGCTGGTGACTTTTTATGAATCTTTTTTGTATGAATGTCATTAATATTTGAGTTAAGAAAAAAAAAAAAAATTTAATTGATTCCCTCCACCACCACCATAATTTCATAACTTTTTTACTTTGTAACTCTTTATTGCAATTACTAGTTTATTTTAGAAAACAACATATAATCATACAATCTGTATCAAATTTCATTGATTCTCAAACCCTGTAAAATGTTCTGATAGACTTTGTAATAAGATTCTCTAGTACAAAAATTATTATACAGAATGTGTTGTATAATTGAAATGCTTGACTTGAATATACAGAAACAAGGCATGCTCTAAAATATTGTATAAATTAGCTATGTCTGTATGGCTTTTCATAAGGAATCTACCACATAGCTGCATACCACAGTTAGATTGTACAACTGGAAAATTCTCTTTCTCTTTTCTTTTTTTTTCAGTACTACGAAATGGTGCATGGGAGATTGTCCACTGGGAAAAGGTATGTGTTTATGTTGGTGACTTTTAGAGCATAAATAGAGCAGATTTAATATTTGCATTGTTTCTCCAAATAATTGTCATTGATAAGAATTAACTGGTATGGTAGGAAATGTATAATCTTTTGTAATTTTTTTTTGTCAATACTTGTAACTTAAAATGTACTTTTAAGTAACTTCTGATGGCATGAGTCAGGCAAAACTGCCATTAAATACTGAGCTTTAAGTTCAGTGAAAAATAACTTGAATAATATGATTGACTTGGGAGTATTCGCATATGGCAAAGTTATACAGTTCCTTAATATTATTTGGTGTGCCAAGGCAGAAACTTCTTTCTGGAAACTAGTTGTTTTGTGTATTTGCTGAACTTCTTTGGCTTAAACCACAAGAACTTTAGAGACTGTTATGCAGTAGTTAGGAAGGGACTGCTAGAAGTAACTTTCAAGGACTAAATGTTATGCTGTCTCTCCAGTCCCTTAGTTTTATTGATCTCCATACCTGAAAGCTTGAACAAAATTTGACCCACAGTAATTTGGAGGTAATGTTCAGATGAAATTGATTAATACCTTTGGAGAAGGAAGGATAAGGCATATAGTCTGATGCAACAGAACTGTGATCTTAGAGGAGATTAATTTCTTCTTTAACTTAACTTATTCTTCCCGTAAAATATTTTACATAACTAGCAAAAGTAAAGAACTGCATAGAGGTCAGGATTAAGCCTATTAAAGAATAGATTTCCAAAGAATTCCAGTGACCTTTGAATATCTGATACTACAGGCTTCTCTCAGTTTGTGAGTTTCTAACAGCCTTTCTAGCAAATTCAGCAGGTAGATATTTACTGTGCTTAAAACAAAGGGGTAACATATTTTGTTTGAGACCATTAACCAATTCCCAGTTTTCTTTCAGGTAGATGTTGGAGATATAGTTATAATAAAAGGCAAAGAGTATATACCTGCTGACACTGTACTGCTCTCATCAAGGTAGAGATGCCCACTGATGCTTATAGTGTAGAGGCTGGTTTCTCTACCCTGCATTTATTTATTTATTTACTTATTTGTGATTGATCCAAGGAAATAAGGTATAAACAAAAATACTACTGTTCTGAAGTGTAGTCTTTTGTTCATTCGGGCATTTATCATTTCAGACAGCGTTTCTTTAAACTGTGACAATTACAGTTTTAAAATTACACTGGCGTTCAAATTAGCCCTAAATAAAAATCAGTATTTTGTTGTTGGTTTTGGATATAATACAAAAAAGGCTGAGTTTCTGTCTAAAAATTGGGCCTTGAGTGCCATATTTAACCAGGTTGGCTTTTTGATATGTACCTAACAAATTGCATCCTATAAGTAATTTAAAATGGATATATTACAGGGAACAAAAATGGGTTTTTAATGGATGTAGTTGCCAGTTTGATAGTTGAATCAGGAAAAAAAAATAACATTAACCATCAAATTAGCACTGTCTTTATGAGCTGAACATTCACTTCATTCTCTAATATATATATTCTGAATAATTTAAGCACTGAAAGTAAGGCTTAATTTATAGCATGTAATGCTGTGATTCTTTTTACGTAGACAATCAGAGGTTGTTTATCATCATTTCCTTGGACAATTTTATTTAAGAAATCCACATCTTATGTGGAAGATGCACATTTTTCAACATCTATTTGATCAGGTCAATAGACAGCACACTCTAAGAATTTTTTTAAATTAAGGCTATTTAAATATGATCAATTGTATTTTTATTTATTACTGTAAGTTTCCAATGCAATTTCTTTTTTTTTTTTTTTTTCCTGGCACAAGCAGAAACATTACTGTTATGTGTATGATTATCGATTAGGTATAAACCCTGTATGATCCCACTGAAATTCATGAATCCACTCATACATACAATTAATAGAGTTAGGATCTTAGGCATTTCTGTGGCAGACTGTGGTGTAGATTAGTACAGTGTTTATTCCATCTTCCATTATATCTCAAAATCAAGTGCAGCTGTTTCTAAAACACTTCTATTAAGTCATTATCAAATGTAAAATAGTTGCCAGGTAATACTGTAAATTTTACCCATAGTCTGTCTTCAGTACTAATGTTTTTCATAACTTCAGATGTTTTTGTATTGAGTATCCTCTATAAACCTTTCACTTCTGCTCTTCAAGAAGCATTTATAAATTTTATTGGTGCTTCTCCACCAAGATCTTAATAGGCAATAGACCATGCAACAAAACCAGTTGTTCTATTGGCCTGATAATAGCTTCTGTAATGCTAACCCTAGTGTTTTGCAAGCAAAACTGATTACGTCCTTTCAGAGCAGCTTGTTTATCATGTTCCTGAGTAAGCTCATAAATCTGAGTCTTTGCCTTCACTGTTCTGCTCTTTTGGATTTGAAGGACACTTGCATCACAGTGTTCTCCAATTGTCATTTACAGAGAAAAATACTAACTGCTTGCAAAGCCTCCAAGCCTTGTCCCCACTGAAGGAATCCTACATCACATGTTGATAAATTGAATAGCTAGCTGCTACTGGATTTGTCAGGACTGATACCCCTTTGCTTAACCTCACTTTACTGCCCTTGTCAGAACTCACTGTCCTAACTTATGACCATTGAATTTTCCTTCTAGGATCCAATTTACAAAGGGGACTCCTTGAATCATTATAGCTTTTCTGGGCCCAGTTCAGGCATTTCTTCTAGCTAAATCTTCCTTCTTAGTTATATTACTAGGGTCCTGTTGCAGCCCTTCTTCCAGGAGAGAACCCAGTGTACGACATTAGCCTGCATTCTGGCAGGTGCTCTCCTTCTCCACCTCTCATCTCCACCTGGCCATGCATCCTCCAGGAAGATAGTCTCATCAGTTTTGCTTACCAGGTGTTTATTGAGGCCCAGTTACGTTTTAGGTGTCAATAGCAATGTAACCCTGTGGGCCTGGTTAATTCAAACTAATATTTGGTTGTTTTTACCAGCAATAGCAGTTTCTGGAGAATAAGAGGTTCTTGATTCTTTTAGGAAACTATAGTCTCTTACAGTGGAAGAACACAAACCTCTTCTGTTTGATCCTTGTTAGTTCTGTGTAAATTGAAATTTTCAAAGTTGAAGCAAACTACAAGATCATTTTCAGCATTTCTACATAGAAAGGTTCTTGTCACCTGATGTTTCAGAAAAATTGGTGGAAAATCTTTTGTTGTGGCCTTTATTTTTTTAATTAAGGTATGGAGTGGCTAGAAGCTTTGTCAGTTAAAAATAAGCATAACAGCTTTTTATTTTTACTGTAGAATATGAGTGTGTTCTGCATCTTAAAATTGGTGCCTTAACAGTAAGACAGTCCACTGAAGTAAAAATTAAAATAGCCTAGCTCTTTTCTTCCTGACCTGATTAAAATAGATTTTGAAAAAATTGTCATCAGACATTTTAATTAACATGTATTGTTTGTATAATAATTTCAAATTCTGTCTTTTTGTCTTTGTCCATTTGTTTGGTTTGGTTTTTGTTTGGTTTTTTTATTTCCCCCCCACCCCGTCACTTATTTTTCTGTTCTAATAATTTTCAAACTGGGATGTGTAGGTGGCAGTAGGGGAAGTAGTGAAAGTGACCAATGGGGAACATCTCCCAGCTGATCTCATCAGTCTGTCGTCAAGGTTAGAATAAACCAGTTGCACAGGATACGTGTATGTGGGTCCTCATATACCAAATATGAAGAACACTGACATGTTGAATAGCTTTGCTTTGCCGTTCACCTTTCTTCAACGCCTTTCTTTCGCATTTATAAAATTAGGAAGGGTTCGGTTAATAAACAGAGCGTTAAAATGTGAATACACGGTAACACTCCAAGAAATGAAAATTTGTTTCAGTCCTTTTTGTTTTTACACTATCCCCATGATTCAGACAAATTGTTATTGAATAAACACATAGTAAAACACAAGGATAAATATATATTTAATTCCTTAGAGCAAATTAAGAATATACATGTTTATACCAACCCACTGTTTTCAGCAAAGAACATAGTTTAATGTTGGTAGGGCTGGTAGAGGACCCTCTGCACACACTTGGATGTTGCACAATCTCTGCTGCATGCGATGGCAAAAGCAGCGCTGTTCTTGTGTATTGTGACAAAATGCATGTTTCTTAGACACGTCAGCTTTATGCTATTGTCTGCACTGTTACTGCACTTTGTTTTTCCCTAACAAATCAATGGGCCTGCCTTGATCTAACTGTAACTTACTGTGGAGGCTACTGCTATCTGCTACAGTGATTACAATTAAGCATGTGTCTTACTCAAAATGTCTTTGCTGCCTTAGTCGGTTTTAAAAGTGCTTCACAAAAATATTGTTTGGTTTTTATTATTAATTAATACAAATGCTAGAATTGTTTTATACAGGTGATTCCATTTAAACAGAAGTTATTTACAGTTTTAGAAAAGTTTGCCAAGAAAAAGCTAGCCTGAAAGGAATTTATGATAAAGACTTATCACATTTTAATGCTTCTGCATTACAAAAATGTGTTAGAATAACCTACTTAACTTTGTCCTGCAAGCATTGTAAAACTAAGTCATTTATCAGTAGCCACTGTTGCATTAAGAAATAAAATTTTAAAAAACACTTGATGCTTGAATTTCATGCTAGAAAGAAGCTTTAAAATGGTGTAGAGAGTAAACCTTTATTCTTTTAAATTATAAGGGGGTTTTATGACTCATTTGGTCCTTTACAGGATCAAAACTTATTTCTATTGTAGATATAAGTAGTAGGTGCTCTGTCCTCATGTCCAGAAAATAGGAGCTGACTGGAGTAATTCAGAAATCCTGACTTGTTAGACCTGTTCTTGTTTACTGTCTACTTGAAGAAAAGTAATTTTATCCTTCTCTATCTTTGTTTTCCTAGTTAACAGTTCTATAATGGTTACAATATATTAAAGTCTAAAAGTATTTTTACAAAATATAAAATCACTGCTATGTTACACATCAAAAAATTTTATTGAAAAAAAATAAATGCAAGGAATAAGCCATTTATCAGTAGGTGTCAAATAGCTGAACTATTCAAAGTAGTAATATTCTACATAAACTTAAAACTTTTAATTTATAAAAAAGCATTTTAAATTGCATAAAGAGGACATATATGTAAAAAATGGTATTGTTATCTATAATTTAGACTTTTTTATAAGAGAATCCCTTACAAGAAAATTACACCTGTGCCTTTATCTTAATTGCGTCTAAAAAGTTTTCCTGTGTACAGCATTTTTAGCAGTGTTTCATCTAAGAAGACAGATTTTGGCGAACTTTTCTGAAAATGTAAAGTACTGTTGGTTTTTATAGATTTGCCTGTAACTTGTTCTAGTTCTGAAGATTTAATAAGAAAAGGAAAAACCTGATTGCATAAATAAGTATTAAAAGATTACAAAAAGTTAATGGATTTTGACACTATAATTTAAAAGTAAGGATTTTTTTTTTTCTTAATAGTGAACCACAGGCTATGTGCTACATCGAAACATCTAACTTAGATGGTGAAACAAACTTAAAAATTCGACAGGTAGGAATTTCATTTTTGACAATATCACTAATATTATTTTCTTCTGTTATTGCTTATGAAAACCCATTTTATGACATTAATAGCCATTTTAGAAGACTGTGAAATTTTAGTGGTTTGAATAAAAAACTGAGTTATTGGCATCATAAATGTTTTTTTTCAATTAATCAAGCAGAAGGAATGAAGCATAAGTCCTAAGTCAGACTTTGTGCTTTGTTTTAGGGTTTTTCTTTGGGAAAATAGGTATAAATGTTAGTAGTTTGGGCACTGGTTTTGTTTTCAGAGGCTAGATGAGGGAGAAGCCCTGCAGAAAGAAGCTGATAGTGCCAGCATTGTCCTTGAGAGGCAGGTAGGGAACAGCAGTTTTTGATGGAGTGCACTGTCTCTATGCAGGGATGTTCTTGCTGAGCTATATGATTGGATATGACCCTGTCTTCATCATGATGTTTTAATGTACCAAGGTGACTTTTTCACTGTCTGTAGCATCCAGCAGTATGACAGCAAAGTGTAGTGATCCCATTTTGCTCCCACAGTATCCCATAGGGATACTGGTTTTCTCATCTTGCACAGATTTATAATACATAGATTTATCTATTGGAAACTGATTTTTAATATCATGACAAACAAATTATGTTTACAGGGTTTGCCACTAACATCAGACATAAAGGACATAGAAAGCTTGATGAGACTTTCAGGCAGAATTGAATGTGAGAGCCCAAACCGACATCTCTATGACTTTGTTGGAAACATCAGACTGGATGGGCATGGGTATGTAAATCCAAAGAAGCTGATCTTGGGAGATTAAATCAGGAAATTCAGTCTATCAGTAGATAGCTATATGTTGTTAAACTACTCAAGTTAAAATATGAACATTAAAGCCATTTAACAGAATAAACTGTTAAAACTAGACAGGTAAGCATCTTTTCTGATGTATTCTTTATTGAACTTCATTCTTTTTAAAAAATAGAAGGCTAAAACCTTACTTCTGATGTCTACAACTTGAATTTTTGTACTAGCTGACCTTCAGAAAACAATAGCTATTAATAATGGAAGGGAGTGCTAATCAAATAGTTCTGAAATATGTACTTAATAACTCACTTCTTAAGCTTCTTATTACTTGCCTTTTGAGTTTCTATTATAGAAGCTGAATAGAAGTAGTTCTGGTCTGGTTTTTATTGTTGTTTTCATCTGTTTGTCTAAGTCTGGAGTGGCACTGAGTCCATCTCTGTATACCTCAAATTCTTCTAACTTGGTAGCTGAAAGACATTTAATACTGTAGCTGACTGAAAGTATGTTTCTGTAAAAACAGACTGCCCCAGTGCAATTACAACATACATGCTTGTAAAACTGCTTCAAAAATTCTTAAAATTACTGAAGTTTTGATACTTGATATCAAAATATTAATATTTGGAGTCTTCTATGGGTTCAAATAAAATGTGATATATTAGTAGTATAAAATTCATTACTAGAGCCAGAATTGTTGAGTTTTTCATCCCCGAAGGTTTACAGGATTTCTTTTTTATTTAGTAGATATTTATTTCTTCATATACAATATTATTTACGTTTGTGGGTTTAAACTGATATATATAGCACTGACTAATTATTAAATACATTTTTTTATATTCCATTTTTTATTTACTGATTTCTTACAGATGCATTCCAGGAATTTTCAGTCGCAAGAGTGTGGATCTATTGTAATTCCACTGTGCTTGTCATTAAGAAGAGAAAAACATTTACCTGTAATTCTTCTCTGAAGGTAATAGTTATAATAGATCCACACATTCATCCTTCCTCTCTGGCTAGATGGAAAAACATATTTTTCTTTTTAATCTAAGTATTTAATTTTAAAATTTGATTTAAAAAAGAAACATTGAATGCACTGATGGCTGTTATGTCTCAAGAATGTGTAGGAACATGCCATCTGCTGGTCAAGCAATTTGTTATTTGAGAAATTCAGTTTTGGGATATTTTTAATATAGTTCATGTGCAGTAGGGTCATTCCAAAAGTGTGGCTCTAATATAATATTTACCTTCAGTGAAAAAGAATTGCAGGTAAGTAACTCTTTTTGGATCCTGATCTTATTTCCAACCTGAAAAATCAGGGATAAGTTCTGTTTCTGCCCATATTAGAGGTAGCACAGATTAGTCTAACTGTTATTTATTTGCCTAGATCTTTAAGACCTTCCTACCATCAGTTTTGATTTTCCAAGCATGACACTTGGTTTTAGTCAATTAAAACAATTAGCTAGAGAAAGGAGAAAAGTTTTTTAACCTGGATACATTTGAAATTATGATTACACAATGGCTCAGAGAAAAAAGGTGAGCAGGTTAAAAACAAGGGCAGGTATTTGTTATCCAGACCTAAAGTGAATGTTTTCCTGAAGACATTAAGAAAATTTTGATAAGAGTGAAATATGCTTGTTAAGAAAAACATTTTGATATGTAAGCTTTCAAATGTGTCTTAGAAATTACTAGCTCTTAATATACCCTTGACATCCCTGACAGGAAAGTATGTTGAAAGGGTGTTTCCCCGTAGAGAACATCCCTTACTGAAGAGTTGTTAGTTACGTAGCACACAGGAAGAATCAGATGAGTTGGAGCAGTTTTGAGAAGGCTGAGGCCGGGAATTAGAGACATGAGAGCTCTGTCATGTCATTGCACCATCACTTCATTAGACAGTGGAGTGAGATCACGTTATTGAGGATCAGTAGCATGACACCTGGCAGATACGGGCTTTCTGTGCCCCTGGTTGTTTTGCTGTCTGTTTTCATCTCCTTGGTCTGCACCAGTTCTACTGGAGACAACACTCATTGGCTGCAATCCCAATTCTCTTCTGATTGTTTTCCCAATAAGAGTCTTGACAATAAATTCCTGTCACAAGTTGGAGAAGGGTATCCATTTGAGATACAGTGTCTTGATGGAAAAAAAGAATCAATGGATCCTGCAACAGAAAGGACTTTACTGCATATTCTTCACAGTTTCTAAGAAGGAAGAACAAAGAGGAAGATCAGGAAGTGGCAAGAGGCGTCTTAGAACTCACCTGAATATTCAAGGAGTACAAGAATTAAGAGTGGAAGGTCTTGAATTATGCCTTCCTAGACTCCTTTGTATTAGTAGAAAGGACAGAAAGTCTTTTTTGCATTCTAGAAAAGGTCCATAGTTGAAAAGGTTTCTGATTTATCTATGGGGGACTTGCATATAACCAGAGAAAGTGATTTTTCTTTCATCTGCTGTGACATTCATGTTAGTGCTAACGAACTAAAAATATCTTGGAATTACATTTAATCTAATCCTTAACTTAAATGTCTATGTATTGTGCTGATGGATGGTCCACAAGTCTTAGAATTATTTTGATCAAGGAATGCAAATTAAGTACAGAAGCAATATTTGATGGCAACAAGAATCTCTCATAACTATTCTCATGTTATTCAAACCCCAGCAGTTCCTTTCACACTTGAAAGGACACTTTCTTAATTTTGCCATGATATGAACACATATCAAATATAAGAGCAGCACAGTTCAGATTTAGAAAGCAAGTAAATCTCAGTATGTTTTATTTTTCACTTTTCTTTTACATTTCCTTCTTTTGATGAAGTGTGTGAGTCTGGAAATAATTTTCCATGGAAATATCACTCAGCATTTCATTGCTGAAACATAGTTGGTGGGGAGAATGGTTCCTTAAACAGTCAGTATGCTCTGTGCTAGTTTCCTAAGAAGTAATTGTACTAAGTTGTAGTGGGGTTGTGTTTGCTAGTTGTTTGGTTTTCATGGAAAAGCACTCAAAATATTTTTCCAGATTTTTTTTTTTTTTTTTTTAATTTATTACCTGAAACTTACTTGCTGAGACTGACTTTATGCTCTTTGCGCTACCAAAAGTGTTACCAAATATCATGGCTTCCTCAGACTATTTATAGTTTATATATCAGAGGATCAGAGGTATAGTTGCTGTGAGCTTAATAATGTGTTGGTTTCAAAAAAACTGTAGACATAGTAGTTTTAGGCAAGAATGCCAAACACTAGAGCACTATTGGCAAGTCTGAACTGCTATCTGGAATTCATAGAGAGAAAAATGCCAAAATAGGATATTGTTTGTCCCAGGAAATGAGTAATAATTATCTAAAATTTTTATATTTTAAGAAAAACCTGAGCTACTGTATATGTATAAAGTCAACTATCTGAATTTAAGATAGTTAAATGTTTCCAATGTCTTTTGAGGTTTTGTTGCTCATTTACTCAGTGCAGTTCTATAAGAATAACATAAGTAAATTTACCTGGTTTTGCAATTTAAAGAAGGTGCAGAGAATATTGTTGTAAAAATTTAAATAGTTACTCATGTTCATAAAGGATATTTATTTTACTAGGAGAGTGGATTAAACTTGAGAGTTTGGAGGATTATTTCATTTGTAAATTGCTTTGGAAAGCAATTTTGTAAGACTAGTTAATCAGAGGGAAATTAGCCTTTGTTAGTTTCAGTATGCTTACTTAGTAGTACCATATCAAAATTAGTAATCCATAGTCAGAACTAAGTGGTTATTAATTATTTTTGCAAATTTATATTTTTGGGCTTGCTTTTAACTGTCAGGTTTTCTCTCTGTCAACACTCCCAAAAAGCTAACTATGAAAATTAGATTCCTGGCATATTTATGATAATCATCTAAATTTTGAGAAATTAGTTTTAACAACTGCTGATTACATTTAGTTATTGACATTGATTGTTTTAATGCTAAATATAAAACTTCTTCCTTTTAGTACTGTTCCATTGGGGTCTGATCAGATTCTTCTACGAGGAGCTCAGTTGAGAAATACTCAGTGGGTTCATGGGATTGTTGTCTATACGGGACATGACACAAAACTTATGCAGGTTTGTCACTTGGATTTTCTCTAAATTATCTGGTTTGTTACCTTATTGTGCCATTACACAGCACAGCAAATCCTTTCAGAAAACATGGCTAGATTCAAAATAGTAGTTTAAATGTCAGTAATAGAGCATCTTTCTTACGAAGTAAAACCAATAAAAAGCAATTTCTTGTTATTATAAGTCACTTAGCTACAGAGCAGTTTTTCTACTAGTAAGCATATTCGTTGATTCTCTTTTGTAACTTGTGTTTTGAAAAGTATTTTATTAGCAAGTTGGATCATTATAGTTTGCCTGTTCATCTTTTTTTATTTTTGATTGCTCCTAAAACTGTCCTCTTGTGGAGCTTTCTTTCAAGTATAAAGGTAAGCATTCTTGTCAGACAACAAAGTGAAACTTTATTTGCAAGCTGAGGAGGGAAAAGAACCATTCTCAAACTATGAAATTACTTTTCCTAGTGCTGTTTGAAATATCAGAATTGAAATGCATTTATTGAGAAAAAAGAATGCTTTCACATTGTTCATGCATGTCTCTTATTTACTGCTTTTCTGATTTGTAACAGTTATTTGAAAAAGTTTCATTGTTTGTATTAGCAGTTGTCTTCTATACCACTGGTAAGGTGTGTAAGCACATTTATTTTTAATGTTTACTGTTAGCTGTTGCTATTACAAGCGTGCTGTGTGATTGTTTGAACTGCTTGTGACACAAATCTAAAACTCTTTAATTCATGGATTATGCTTTTTTGTTTTCTTTTGAGTGAAACAGTTCTGCCATTTATGATAATGGTGTATTTGGGAGAGTATTTAGAAAAGGATGCAGTAACATGTAATTTGAAAAGCGAGAACTGTGTGTATGTCTTCTAATATTTAATAGTCACTGTTGTTTTTTGTCTTTTGCAGAATTCAACAAGTCCACCTCTTAAAATGTCTAATGTGGAACGAATTACAAACATTCAGATTTTAATTCTGTTCTGCATCCTTATTGCCATGTCTTTGATCTGCTCTATTGGTTCAGCTATTTGGAATCGAAGGCATATTGGAAGAGACTGGTATCTTGATCTAAATTGTAAGATGTAAAGTAGTATATTAATATTTTAGTATTCAGTTGTCTTTCGTATTTGGGAAGGAGCATGATTACTGTCCTTTTCACGGTGTGTTTTTTATCAGTATTTCTTCATTGGTTGCTGACTAAAGTCACTAGGCTAGGTATATCACAGCAAGTACAAAATTTACCTTACTCTGCCGTCTAAGCTCTTGGTAGATTCAGGGAGGGTAGCTTTGTTGTCTGCCTCTACATCTCTGCAGCTCAGCAAGGTCTGTATCAGCATTCCACTGGCATAAGCAGTCAGCTTCCTAGACGTCAGACTACAACCATTTTCAGCTGTTACTGATGGATTGCATTCAACGCTGCAGTGACTTCTCTGAATTTTTAAACTCCCTCATCCCAGGAAATGATGCTGTGGCTTTATAATTTTTACCATAAAGGGATCTAACTAATTATTGGCTGCCAACATCAGATCTTAGCAGACTGCTCCTAAAGAAGATAAAACAGGCACAAAAGATCTCATCTAACTGGGCAGCCATACTCACAGTGGATGCGAGTCAATGTGATATTGTGGGCCTTTACAGCAGCATGCAACATATTGACATAATTTGACCCTCACCGAGGGAACTAGATTTAATGGAAGATTTCATAACTATACCTTGTGATCAGTTATTCATGTTTTCAGAATTCCTTGCTGTGGGCCTAGAGCCTTCTTTACTTAGGTAGTAGAACCAGAACTTGGCTTGCTGCTCTTGAAACAACAGTGTATTGAATACAAAGTTGCTGAACATAGTCATCACAGTAGGAATTATGTGATGGTTTGGTCAGTTTTAAAAGAAAAATCTTTGAATTCTGATTTGAAAGCGCTGTCCTAAAGTTTATGTTGAACAAAACAGTTGTCTGCATTTATGATGAACTTTTGTTTATTGAGAACCTTGCTTCTCTTCTTTTTGATGCTGAAGAAGAAAGTTGTGTTGTGTTTTCATTTTGTTTTTTTAAAAGGAAGAAACTTTCATATTTCCATCATGAGGTGTACAAACGTGAAATTATTAATGTAATATTGACAACTTCCAAAAATATAACAGACTGACATTAGATGTTCTTCATCTTTTGTTATTTTTGATCTGATTCTTCTTTTCAATGCTTTTTTTTTTTTTTCTTTTCTGGAAAATATAAAAGTTTTCAGAATATGGTGGTTAGCACAGTAGTAAAGAAGCAGTTCAGAAGCTTGGGGTTTTTTTATTCCTGAAAAAAGAAACTGAAATAGTGGCCATTAATATTTTGTATGTTCTTCAAGTGATTATCCTTGTCAGTTTGTCTTCTGATATGTGCCCCAGGAATAAATGAAATTGTGTTGTTTTGTAAGGTCTACCCTTTAAGGCTGCATTCAACTTAGTTGTTCTTGTTCCAGGTACTTTTAATACCTATTAAACAATTTATTCCTCTT